CTTCTACAACGAAGAAATGAACGCAACGAACACGTTGTAACCGTGCGACCACTATCTAGTGCATTCCGAATGCGTTATGGATGCATTCATATTCGTATGCATTCGTCTGTTGGGAATGCTTTATTTAATTGTTCTCCTCACACGGGGGTATTGTTTGCAGAATAATGGATTAACAATTTGTTATAATGATTCTATATGTTACAAGTTATTAAAACTAGACTATTTGATCGAAGAAAAGAATTTATTGTCATTGTTTCGTGTGGGTTTATACATCTTTTGATATGCTGGCAATGGTACTTTCTGTGAATAGTTACACTCTAAAAAATGCCATGCGTCTTACAAGACGGTGCATCCGTCTATAGTCTAGTTTAGACGCGAGCTAGACGTAAGGTATGTCTTAACTTTAGACACTTGAATCAAATAGACGTTTAGATGCAGTAACTATTTATACGTCTTGTGCTTTATTGTTATTGAAAATGTGATCAGTCCGCCGCAAACACAACGAATGTTTATATATTAAAATGCATATCATGAAAAAATATTTTAAATAATGTTTTTTTAAATCGACTAAACATGGCAGCTGTAGATATATTTTTGTTCATTATTCTTTCACTAAAATAACTCGCACTTTTTTAGGTATGTATCTACTTTATATTGTGTCTTCTAGTGTTACTTAATTGAATACTAAGTTTTATTTTATGTCTGTGATCGCTAATTTTTTAAAGATTATTATTTTTTAATCGTCGTCTATTTCTGTCTTCGTTTTAAAATACTTCTAACAAATAAAATAAGTAAGTTTATATTTACTGCTTTTAAGTTATAATGTTTTACTCGATACCGTTTTCTTAGGGCTTGTTTCTTTACATGTAAGATTAAAATTTTCATTTACAATTGAATTCACTAAGTCAAGCAACATTATTTATAAGCACATGTTACTAGACATCAACTATTATCCTGATTGGTACATACTGATTTTATAATTAAATTATGAAATTATCAAGAAGAGGTAAGAAAGACTTGTTCTCTAGTTTATCTTTGTTTCTTTTTCATTTTATACCTATCAATCTTCGCAATGTTCGTATTCTACAACTTCTGCTGTATGTTCAAACATTATTGAAATCTAAGATTAAATAAGTACAAGATGGCTATTTTTAAACGTGCTATTGTTTAATATTATTACGAACAGCGACGACACCTAATTATTGTTTTACTTTTGATTTGCTGCTGCATGTTTTTGTATTATATAAATAAGATTAATTTGATAGTCATTAGAATTCTTTACCAAGATGCTAATAATTACAACGTATTTTAAAAGCTAGTGTTTTTATATCTTTGAAAAATACCTAATCTTATTACTCAGCACAATGCATTCGATCAACATTTAATGATTGAGAAGTTAATGATACAATTAAAGCTTAAAGTATTTAAAGAAATTATTCAAGTTATTTAGTAAGTCTTTTAGAATTTATAAGTATTCCTTTTTTTTAGGCTATTTGAAAAAAATTCAGTTTCTAAATATTTATAAATAAACATATACTTATATATTACTTATTTTCTTTCAGATTTTCGACTTATCTGACTATGTTATACTTGTTTATTTTTTTTTAGATTATATTAATATTCCGAGCATCTATGCGCCACTTACTTTTCAAACAATTTTGATACTTTGCTCCTCGATACTTTGGCTGATCAACGAGCTGCTAATTCTAGAAATGATTGCATTTCGATATGAATAGGGCGCAATAAAAAAATATTTTTGATAATATAATTTTATATTTTTTTAATCAATTGTTTTCAACTTTATCTTAACATCTTAACGAGAAATATTGTAAAAATCTTTAAATTCTCTTTAACTCATGTTAAGTTAAATTGCAGAAAAAAATTGATTAAAAAAAATATAAAATTATATTATCAAAAATATTTTATTGGGCCCTATTCATATCGAAACGCAATCATTTCTAGAATTAGTAGCTCGTTGATCAGTTGAAGTGTCTAGAAAAGACAATTGTAAGACACTTTCTGTATTGGTGCAAAACATCCAATTAGAAGCGAGTAAGACGCACCAGGATCTAAAATCGGTCATCCGTTGACACTTGAAGCGTCTAAACGAAAGATATTTAAGCCAATCAGAGTCAAGTCGAAGTGTCTTGTATTAGCGCATGAACCGCCTTGTCTAGACATTTCTCAAGTCTTGATTTTTTAGAGTGTATAAAGAAAATTTTTCTTTAGAATTTCAGATAACTAAATTATCAAACAATGAACTGGTCGTGCGAAGATGTTATTCTATGGTGCAAATCATTCATCGATGATGATTCTATTTTATCGCGATTTGAAGGTCTGTCTGTTTTTATGAGTTCGAGAAATGCATGCTTTTTTTTTGCTAGTTGAAGATATTGCTAGATATTCATTCGCATTCGCTATCTCGTCATGCGCGTTAGTCATTCATGTCTGATATAATCTGGTTGAAATGTTTGTTTACACTTTCTTTTATGTTAATCTTTCTCTTTTTTTCTAGTAAAGTAGTAGTGCGCGCTTATTTTAAAGAAAATAACTGAATAGTTTACTGTATTTGTAATCCATTCTTTTATAGTACTTATTCATTTTATGTTCATCTATCTTCTTCGAAAAGTAATCGTTAAGTAAACAGCTAAACAGAAGCTATTTTTATTAAGCTAATATATATAAATAAGTCTAATAACACTTTTCATTTTTGATCGTTTGCACTTTATCTCAACATATCATGTCATCATTCATGTGTCCAATTTGTTTGACGAATCGAAATTTCGTTAGTTTTGCGAAAATGTTTCAACACGTAACAGTTTATCATCGAAATGAATCGAATTTCAAAATGACTTGTAATTTACATCGTTCATGTGGCGTTTTATATAAAACGTATGCAGGATATAAATCTCATATTTATAGACAACATTTATCGGAATTACATTCAACCGAAAAGAACCACAATAATTTAACTACAATTCCTGTTAGTAAACAGGAAGATAATATGAATTTGCTTGTTGAATCTGATTTAACCAATGGTGATATTAATGATCAATTGAATTTTGCTAATGATAATATAGAATCAATGGTACAAAAGGATGACTATGAAACAGGTTTTGATGATTCCGTTTTATCATTTGGTTCAATCACTAATGATGGAAAACAACTAGGATCAATGTGGGACATTAAAAGATCTTATATTTTATTCATGTTGCAATTACGTGAAGAATGTTTACTACCGAAAAATGTTATGAGTATTATTTCTACTTACATCATAACATTAATGCAAAATCTAGAAACTTTATTGGAAAAAAAAGCATTTAATTATACCGCAGAAAGTTATTCTGCTGTGTCGTCATCTCGAAAAGAAAACAAAAAAGCTATTGAATTTGATCAATTAAAACATGTACTCGATGATATACGCAACGCTATACAATCTAATACCAAAAACGAATATCAATTCGTAAAACAATGCGAAAAGTATTTTGCTTACACTTCACCTGAAGAGATTGTTTTGTCATCTGCCGGTGAAGTTCCAGAACATGCATATTTTATTCCAATTGAAAAGACTTTGTCATCAATGCTGAATTATCAACCACTTGTTATTCAAATTCTTGAAAATATTCAACAACAACAAACAACAACTAAACACGATGACGACTTGATGTTCTCGATTCGAGACGGATACCATGGTAGTAGACTAGATCATGATAGTCTATTGCTGCAACTTTACTTAGATGATATTGGATTAACTAATCCAATTGGTTCAAAACGTGATGAACACAAAATGTGCATGATTTACTTTTCGCTTGAAGACATACCGGATCAACTTCGTTCAAAAGTTGATTTTATTCAATTAGTTGGCGTTTGCGAAAGTAAAACTCTGAAGGTAAAATCTCTGTCGATAAATTCGAATAAAAAAAAAGTTTTATCAATAAGAAATTTTTCAACAGTTGCTAGATAAAATAAATTGATTTTTTTCTTAGAATAAATCTCATTGATTTATTTTTCCTTGCAAACAATTAAATTTCATTGTTCTTGTTTATCTCATGCATTTCGGATAGAATCTTACGTGATACATTTCGTTTAAAAACGCCATAATATCATAAGAAATTTACAAAATCTTATATTTTCCATTTTTCGAGGACAACATCAAGGCTAAACGCTTCTTTCAGCCGATTATCGATAATTTAAATAAATTACAACTCCATGGTCTTGTAATCAATGGTATTCATCATAAATTTTCATTTTCGACTGTCGTTGCGGACAATCTCGCAGCTCATTTAGTTGGCGGTTTTCGATTATGTTTTAATAGTGGACATTTTTGTCGACGATGTTACGTTACCTATGACGAGAAGAACTTACCAATTCCATTGTCACAAATTAAAATTAGAACGATATTTGATCATGATGATTTAGTTAAACGTATCATGAATGATCCAAATAAATTTCCTTTGATGGGTGTGATCGATCAAAGTCCGTTGAATGATCTAATTGGTTTTCATCCAATAGTCTCTTTACCCGGTGATATTATGCATGATTTTATCGAAGGGGCATGTCCACTCGTTGTAATGTCTCTATTGAAACAAGCCTCATCAATGCGTCTTATAACATATGGTGAGAAATAATTTGTTATTTGTGCTTATCATTTGATTTTTATCATTCCAATTTTTCTCATCTTTCAAGCTCGTATTCAAGAACGAATGGAGAATTTCAAATATGGTTACTTTGATACCAGCAATCGACCACCACCAATTCAAGTAAAACACCTTCAAAATGGTCACATTGTTGCCACAGCTTCTCAAAAGTTGTGCATTTTTAAACTATTTCCGATAATCTATTACGACATTATTCATCATTTACCATCATTTATCGTCTATAAAATTCTACGTGAAATCTTAGATTTAGTTTTATCGTACCCATTCAGAAAGCAATGGTTACCTGTGCTTGGAGATTTGTGTGATTCACTTCATCAAATGATGCTAATACATTTTCCGAACAAAATTGTACCAAAATTACATTTTGTTCGTGAATATGAACGAATAACACATGATTATGGTCCAGCAATTAAGCAATGGTGTTTTAGATATGAAGCATGCCACTTGTATTTTAAAAAGATCACGATAAGAACAAATAATTTTAAAAACACGCCAAAAATGCTTGTAACCCGTTATCGTCTTAAACAATGCTTCAAATTTGCAAGTTTATCTCGTATTAAAACTTTCGATTATGCCGTAGGAATTAAAAAAATTCGAAGCACATGTTTTAATATGTCGATGAAAAACGTGTTGCTAAATCATTTTGGTCGTATTGATCTTGACGAAGATTTAAATCAATGTAAAAAATTGATTCATGAAAATATTGAATATTCTCGATCAGCTGTATATGTAATCAACATAAAACCTTTTAATGAACAACCAATTTTCGCTCAAATTATTTCTATTATCAAAATGGAAGAGAAGTGGTGGTTGTTGGCGGATATGCTTGATACTATTTCGTACGATGAAGAATTATTCGCATGGGAAATCATATCGGTTGATCGTTATTGTATTCTTGATCCATGTCAATTGAAATATTATTATAAAGGATTAGATATTTACCATGTGAACAACTCCAGTTTTGTTTCTTTTATCACTCGCCTCACGTCATATTAATGAACATTGAATACATAACGTTCCAAAATCTACATCTCATAAACTTTCCGATAATAGCATTTTTCTAATTCGATTGATCTTTCTCAATTTTTATTTGTATTGCATTGATATTGTGAGACATTAATAACAACAGTGTAGATAGATGTGATATTAAGAAAAGGCTGAGAATGATATCGATTTTCACGCTTTTATTAGAGATCGTATTTTTCACTTGTAAACGTGTTTTGGAACATTATATATTGAAAATAGTTATGATATTTTTCCTATTTGAATGTAAAGTTTTTAGTTTTTCATTGACATGATAGAAAAAAAGATGCTTATTCTGGTGTTTGGTCTGGATTTCTTAAGATAATTATTCCAGACTCGATCTTTTATTCAGATGAGAGAGAATAATAACAAATAATTAGAGCAAAAAGAATCGATCCATACATTTATCATCTGCAGATAATAAGTATGAACAACCAAGAGAAACTGATAGGAGGGAAGGAAAATGAGGCAGTGGTGAAGAGATAGTACCCATGCCTAACACTAGCCTTCTCGACTTGCCAAATTGATATTTTCGAATAAAGAAAAATTTTGCCTTATTGTAATTTTACTGGAATGTAATTATTTGTATTTCTTTTGCAGAATGCGATATTGATGGTAAAACTCTCAAGATGATGAACAGTGTTGAACGAATATCAACGTTAATACCTAAATTTAAACAACAGTTGATCTTTTTGGAAGAACGTGAAAAATTATTCAAGAAAATTAACGATTATGCAGTTCAATGTGATGATTCGTTATCTACTATGGCGACAAATTCTCAAACAACATCTATGGTTTCAATCAATTCTCAAACAACATCTTTTGTTCCTGTACCAACAACTGATTCTTTCTCAAAAGACTATATGGATAATTCAAGATCCGATCATTCTGGCATTGATGCTGATATTAGTTTAGCATTTCCAGATGATTATAAAATTCCTCTATTACCAAGTGCCTTGATTAAAGATATTGAAGACGGCATTTTACAAAAATTTGGTCCTCATTGTGCAAATCGACAAATTCTGATTGATGCTATCGCTTATGATCTTATTGACAAATACAATCTCTTGTAAGCTATGGTTTAAAACAAATTTCATAAGCATGCATTGAGAAAACAGATGTGCATGTTGTTGTTTTTTTCTTTAATGTATCAGAAACCGATCCTTCACATTTTGTGCCACGTGTCTTTGTCAAAAATCCACGACATGTAACTCTATGATGATGCTAATCTTTTTTCAGTGTGGAAATTTGGACGATTTCGTCTTTCATTTCATCGAATGGGTTATACAAAATATATTTTATGTGATTGATAACATATATCCTAAGAAGTATGAGGGAAAAGGTTTTTCAACTAATGAATGAACGCTTCCATGAAAAACAAATTTGATCAAAGCACATGCGAATATAATTTTTACTAGGAATTTAATCAAATACTGCAGTAAAACAATCAGACTAACGGGAATTTCGATCTCATTAAAATAGTTTTATTTCCATAAATTTTCAAAATTTGACTACAGTTCTCACGTGCGTATTATGTCGTATTCTACTCTTGAATAGAACAGTGTATATGAAAGCTAGAATTTTCTTTTGCTGAAAGCTTTTCAACTAACTATAGAGTTTCACTTTTGGATTTATCATTGAATGCTTTTTGTAATTAGTTATCCAACACATAAACAATTTGATGCTATTGGTAATTCTATTGTCAAATATATGAAATTACCTTTAACAAAACAAAATATCGTAAGTTCACTTGACAGCTACAAACGCCATTACTTCCATTCGCATAGGCCATATGGAAAGATGCTTTACAAACAAAACTGAAACGTAAACGTTTCGAAAATCAAAACAACACTGTTGTTCAAGATTACCGACTAAAATATTCACGGTCAGGATCTGGACGTCCAGTTAAACGAAAAATTGGTGAAACAGCTGAACGTGATCGATATAAACAAGTAAATTATGACGGAGTATTGTTCGCCAGTTCATTTTTTTCTAGATGATAATAATTCCGTACAATGATGACGCATCAAATGATATCCAATTAAAATTAGATCAACTGCGAGATACAACTACGATTGATATTCATACTCAATTATATTTATGGAAAGAAACGTTTTGTTTTCGTCGACAATCTATCAGGGATCGATCCACAGCAGATGTTCTAAAAGATTTTTCAGGCTATGGTAATTCATTATTGGTAAGTCAATTTTTCATTTACTCTTTATTTGTACGAAATAAATTTATTTGCGTAACAGGTCTTCGAAGAAGTTAAAATGTTGATGAAAATAGATTTGAGTGCTGCTGTACGACGACAAATTCCTGTGTTATTAGACAAAATGCTCGAAACTCCAATGTTTATTACAGGTAGATTAAAAGATGAATATATAAATATAAACCAATTCCGTCTGATTTCAGATTCACCTCCTATTCGATTAATCAAAGTTTTATGTCGCCAATTTGATGAAACTCTACAACATACGTTGTGTGATATGGTATGTTATTTTCTCTATAATATCTTCGACTGATACTTTTGCTAAAGATTCCCATACAAAAAGACCTGAGATTATTTTGAGCCGATGTAAATCAATGAATGATTAATTCATATGAGAAAAAGCACGCAAATAGAATTTCAACATATTTTAGTTGCGATAGATATTCATTTTATCCAATCTTGTCATTTTCATCATTGATTAGCCTTTTGTTCAGTTTATAGCCCTTATTTATTCACAATACTTGTATTACAAATTTGTATCGAATTGACTCAGCTGTAATTGTAAAATCAATATATTTCTTAAGAAAAAAAATTGCGCAGCTTACAAACATGTTTATCAGAAAATGAAATATCGTGGATTTTCTCAGTCCTTTTTTTAATTCTACACATTCTAAAAACTTCAATTTTTTAGGAACCGACGACGCCATACCCAACATTGGTGTGTATTGATGATCTGATTCATGTCTATGTTGACTTTAATCCAATTCTTTCAACAAGTTCACCTGATGATGCTGTCGCGCTTCTTATCGCCATGTACACAATTTTCGAATTAGCATTTGATAAAAAGAGTCGAACAATTCGATTTCTTTATTCCGTATTACATGGTGATAAGCGTCATCTTTCTAATTCTATTCGTTTCTTAATCAAAGAGAAGAACATCGATATTCACTGTGAACAACATCAAATATCATCGGCTTCTTCTAATTCTGCATGCAATAGTTCAACAGTACCTGACATCGAATTTCTAACACAATCACAAATCCAAATGAATTCATCACATGATTCGATAAATGGACAGGATTATTCAACTTTTATTCAAACAGTAGAACCAAAACCTTCTGATAATAATTCTAATTCTAATATACTTGTTGCTACACATGAGTGAGTTCTACCTTCCTAAACTATTGACTACATAAAATTTATAATTCTGTTCCATATAGATACCGTAATAACATCGAAAAAGCACCATTGGTTAGTCTTGATTCACAAAATACAACAAAACAACAACGAAAAAGAAAAATCAACACCAATCTGGACGATGAGAATGCCGCGTGTCTGAAAACTTCTGGAAAAAATGATCACCAACTTTCAACTCCTCATCAAGACCCGCTCAATGATGTTACTAATGCACCTGCTCATACACGGCAAAACAAAAAAAAACGACGATCTTAATCAAAATATTCACGATGACCAAAATCGAATCATTACAAAATCATTTCATCTACTCATTTTCTCGAACTGAACTAGTTTCACGAAATGATCGGACTTTTTCGTCGTTTTCTTTTTCTCCTTGTTCTACGTTACATACTTTTTATTTTACTTTAAAACATTATTAATAAGGAGATATCCGACTGAACTAAACAGAGTATTATTTTCGTCCATTCATTTAAAAAACACACAATTGATTCCGCACGCCTGACGTAAACATCCAAAGAATGTTTATTTCTTCCGTATTTTCATAATGCTCCTTCAAACTGCAATATGTTCACTTATTTCAATCACATCATCTATTGATACGAAAACGCTGCCATACGTATTTCTTTTCAAAATACCTTTCTTCCATCATCTACTTACTTTCATAGATATAAAGTTTTAAGCAAGATCCCAATCAATAAATTTCATTTCGACCTTTTTCATTACTGTACTTGCTATCCCACTCCACTAATACCATCGATTTGTATTCATCTCCTTTATTCGACAAGTTATTCAGACAAACCATGAGCACCTTTTCAAACACATGTTGATCCTTTTATTCTTCTCCAGTCGTTTAAACATTTAATTACATATCGCAAACATCGCACATTCACATTTTCTATCCTCATTCTTTTCATTGACTCAGTTCTCTCATTTAATCAGGACCAACATTTCGGCCACTCCCTGCTTGATTCATCTATTTTTCGATTATTTTCCAATCTCCACTAGTAATACGATGCCATCAATAAATTAGCCTTGTATTATACTTTT